GACTTCATAACATACATACACAACATAACACCACGCCTTTTATCCCCGAAGGGGTAGGCAGAGGTGCACATTATGCCACTATACAAAGTAACACCCACTTTTCACTATTTATGTTATGAGTCCCATGTAATAGGGGGTGAGCCTATTGCTATATACCGGGCACAATTCCAGATATGTACAGAGAGTTTTGTAAAAACCCAGTAATACTTTGCCCGACCCGGGAATCGAACCAGAGACCCTTGCCCGGCAGTCGCACTTGCGACCACTCGGTCAACGAGGCAGTTTTCATAACATTTAATAATTAACATCAAATAATTGTTTAGATCGAACCAGTAGGTTCGGAGATTTGTGTGATCAAACAATGTTCATCCTAGTGATGTAAAGTACATTCAAGTAAGGATAATACAAAAGAAACCAAGCATAAGTAGGATTTAACTGTTTAATTAACATTACAATAAGTACATTATAATTTTACATTTTGTCACAATTTCTTGTATTTTACCTTACGTTTTAAACATTTGGCATCTACATTATCTAGTAAATCAACATCAATGGAGTTCTTCCTCTTCAATAAACTCCCCTCTTCCGTTGGTTGCACCTGCTTTAAAGGAAGTAGTCCCACTGCGTACGGTATATTATTTTCTAACGTGGAATTTATTTTGTCATCATTTGTATTAGGTTGTTCATTCTCTTTATTAAGATCATCGTTTTCATTAATCATATCTGCCCATTGCCCACCTTCGACTTTTACTGGGCCGGTCAGATCTATCACCGATTCTTGGTACCGAGACTCTGATGCCATTGTATCAATTTGACTTTCATTACTCGCTCTATGCTCGTTACTCACAGTATCCTCGTTATCTTCGTGCGTCTTCTTACTAATATCTAAATTGTCCCACTGCAACCCACTCGACGTTATTGTTGCCGATATATCTCCATTACTATTCTTTGAATTATTTAATTCTTTCATGTTGTCAGAGTCATTGTCAAATACATTAGACACATTCAGGGTACTTACGTTGAAATCCTGGACGTTAGAATCTGAATTTGAATTTAAATTGTCTTGATCATCTTTAGAAGAATTATGTTTTTGTGCCATGTTCATTTTGTTTTCAATGTTCATCAAATCTTTTATAATTTCATCTCTCTCTTGGGCTCGTTGATCGAGTTGTGCGCTATCTTCGTAATTATTTTGGTCATCGTCATTACGTTTAGGTGTTGACATAAGACAATCGAGTGCATCTTCTTTAAAAACAGCACTTTGTGGAAGTTGTAGTCCGAAGTCGTAACAGTCTTCGTTCCTTCTCAAATCTTCTGGGTTAAGAGGATTATACTGTTGACTTAAGTTTGAACTCAAATGTGAAGTTTTGGTATCAAGTAATGAAATGCTGAAATTTGTATCTAAAGAGGTACTGGCTGGACATAGTTGTTCAATAACTCTTGCATCGTGTAACTGCTGATCTTCGTAATATTTCTTTACGTCATCGCTCATAGACTTTGTGAAAAATTGCATATCGCCATCTATGCAGGAGAAATCATGTGCATTCACATGGTCTATAGAATTATTATTTTCTTGGAGACGCGGGTCCAGTACCACATAGTTTTGTTGTTCTTCAAAGGACTCCAAGTTATCGGGCAGTATAGCGTTGAGACTATTAATGGTATCTTCGGTGCGATTATATTGGGAAGAATCCTTATCGTAATCAGAGTTGGAGCCGTAACCTTTGTTACCAAGTAGCATTTCTCCTCTCTCTATAGATTTGGATAGATCATCTATGCTCTTAATTTCACTGGGATCCGCTACTTTTTCAATAATATTAGGTTGTTCTATAACTTCGTATTGTATTTCACTGCTTTGTACCATGTCGAGTAGCACTTGTTCATTCACGTTTATGTAGGAGCCATCTCCAGATTCAAAGAGAATTGGCAGATCGGTAGGCAAGCCGGCGTTTTTCAGGGCGTTAACATATTGTGACATGGCCGTACTAATGCCAGTCGTCGAAGATTCGGCTGAACTAATTGGGTTATTGTTAGAATAACTTGTGATCGTTTCATTTCCAATGGAGTGCTCTTTGTTATATGAGATGGTGGGGTCGAGGACGTTGGACGAAACGGTCTGGTCCATATACATGAGGTCGTTGTCAATGTTCATGTAGTTGGTGGAGGACTCTGGGCCACAGATGCTGTTGACGGCTTGGGAGAGTGTCACTCTATCCATGTAGTCCTAAACAATCAAAATGATAATGTAAATATTACATCGAATTAACCGAAATATATTGGTTTTAAATAAATGTTTTAAGCTAAATACCTGCATATGTCTAGTTTGCAAATGTTTCAGCTGGTGAATTGCCTTGCGGGAGTCCTGCTCTCGTCGTAGCAGTGCCCGCTCAGCAGCTCGGCCTAGAGAGCCAGTTCCCTCCCACGCTCCTGGTCTCTGGATGTGGAAATACAGAATATTTTCAAGTCTGTTAATATATGAACATTTCGTAATAGGGATGATGACAGTGTATGAAAATTAAAAATCTAATTAGTCCGTCAGTTACATAATGAAAAAATATTAGACACGTATTTTTTTATTTTGTCGTCTAAGAAAAGAATACTTAGATAAAACGAATCAAAGTTTAGAAGTGGGAGGTAGCTACTTCATTTTAGAGTACAAATCGTACTCAAAAGTGACGTCATGTCAAATCAATATATCTTCGAAACTATTCGTTTCCGTAAGAAAATAAAAAATACGTGTCTAATGTTTTGAAATAAACTACCAGACGGACATTAAAATAAAAATTAAGTAGTCATCAATTCACTATAATATTCAATGTACTAGCTAATTTATTCTTAACACTTCAGAAATATACGTTAACTGTTGAGTACTTGTACTTCTGACGTGCTTGTCAATTTCATATGAAATTAATGATTTTTAGGAGTTTTAATAAAGTTCCTTACATTAACAATAACGCTGGTAAAAATACAAATTTGTTAAGTTTTAAGGGTTATTTTAATGGTTGTTGTACTTACTCTGACACTAGGCCTGCCACGCCGTGGTTTGATAGCTCTTGGCGCGTCCGGATAGTCTACCGTAGTTGTGGTCCCACCATTTTCAATATCAAAAGGAATGCGGACTACCATGTCCTGCAATGACGTAGGTTGATTAATAACTACGACCTCAAATTGTATGACTCAGAGGCTCATATTCATGGGCAGCATTTCGCGACCCGCGACGCGGCGACTGTAGCAGCGCGACATGAGCCTCTAGCATGGCTTGAAACTAGTAGAGTTCTTCGTCAAATTATTACGTGTGTAAGCCGAAAACATAATAATTGATATGCATTTCTTGTTTGTAGGTAGGTACAATTTGATTGACAGAACAAACCTTATTCATTCTAACGAGATTATCGACTGGTTGGCCGGTGCTGGTCGCCGGAGCGAGCTGGGACGGCTGCTGCGTCTTACTGTCGCTCTCCTATTAGGTATGTCGGTATTATTAATAAACAAAATTTTTGACTACATTAGGTACTAAGTATGCTAAATCTAGATGGTTAAGCGAAACATTAAACATTACCCATGTCAGAGTGTTAACAGATACCCCAGATCCCAACTTATACCTAGGTAAATACTTAGGCACCTAATGACAATTCATGTGAAAGTAGGTAGATAAAGCAAGAAATTTTGTAACCCAGTAGGTACCTTGGTATGGTTGGGAATATAGGAAATAGATATCGCTACTTCATTTTTTAAATTATGCAGTTTTATAAATAAACTAAAGAATCTTTAACTCTTTGAGTACCGTCATTATAGACACAATTAACTCGTCGAGTACCGGTTTTGTAGACACAATTATAGAACAATAGGTTGCGGTCACCGGTGTCCTCGCTGTGTTTGACAGTTTCAGTACGCACCTGAGAATGTAAATCAATAAGCGATTGTGGAGGTCTATTTATCACCACAGGCGGCGTGAAGACTGGCATTTCACCTAAAATTATACAAGAAAGGTTTACCTATGAATGTAAACAATTAAATTAGGTACCCACTAAGTTTAATTACTTAATTAGTGAATACAAATACTTACCAAAGTATCGACCATAGACTACCAACTTAGATATAGGGAATCAATTATCTCTGTTCGGTAAAAATGTTACAAATTACCTGTATTCCGTTTTTACTTACTATTATTAGCAATGCCCAGACCTTCTTTAGTAACTTTCGAAAGGCCTTTTATCTTTAAAAACTGTGCTGCTGATACTAGTTCGTCTAAGTTCTCTTCAAGGCACTGAGTTTTTCCACAGTACATGAATTCTACTAAACATTTTAACACACTGAAGCGCATTTTTAATATTATTAGTGGTTCTCCTGTTTGCTTTTGCAACACCTCCTAAAATGTTGAGAGGTCTTTAAATAACAAAGTTCGTAAATGAAATGTTATTTTTTCTTGGCACTTTGGCGGCAATTTACATGTATTTTGGAGACAGTGAATTAATAACAGAACACAATGTGACACAACAGAATGTGCTACCAACATAAGTAATTACAAAACAAATTTTATACCTGAAAATAAGCACTGCTTGCAGCAAGTACAGCTTTATGCACGCGCAAAGTATGAGAGCTGCACATTAATGTCATATCGACTAATGATTGCATTTGCAACAAAATACCAAATCTCGACATTAGATGTTCAGAATAATCTTCATAATGCAGACTATATCTTATCGGAGCCATTTCTAATTTACATCTACACGCTTTGAACAACGCTATTAGAAAATCATCAAAATACCTTTTTGATGAAAAATGACAATTTTTTGATAGGTTAAACAAAAGACAGATGAAAAAATAATTGGTATGTTTTTAAAAATGAATATAGAACTTAAATAAATGCCTGTAGTAAAAGAGGTTCTAATTTGAGATTAAAAAATAATAAATAAAATCGTCATTGTCTATTAAATTAGGCAGAATAGAGAAAGGATAAAAATGTATTTGGTCATTTTATTGAATAATAAACATTTGTATTGTTGGAGTCTTTTTAATCCATTAAAAATGCAGAAAAAAATAGTAAATGTTAGAAAATGAATTTATTACAAATTTGTATTCATAATGGATATTTTTAATAATGCTCACGGTAAATAGGAAATTATCCTAAAGTAATAGTTTGGAATATTATAACATAGGTACAGTCAGAGATTAAGATAAGATAGATTGTAATAAACGTAGGTACATCACAGACTAATTAAGTACTCAAACAATTTTAATTGTATTAGGTATTATGATTCTTATTACAACTTTGCCACTTTTGTTACAATCAGATCATTATATTAAATAGGTAAGTAATAAAACAATCAGCATAACACACTGGAAAATCAAATAAAAAAAATAGAATAGGCTTGTGGAATGTAACTAGGAATGTAATGATTTGTTCATAAGGCACTTGGAACAAATACAGTGAGATTGTAGTCAGATGCGTAAATATCAGATAACATCACAAAGTTCTGTATTTTAAGTAAAGTAAAGATAGTTAATTAGAATAAAATTTGTCATTATGGAAAGTTTACCAACTATAAAACCATTAAATAGAAGTATAGATTCTAGTCACATTTAATTATATAATATCAAATTCACAATTAACATGTACTTAAATCGAACTTTTTACTAAGGAAGAGTTAATAGACTTAGACAAGATAAAACAAACTCATTCAAGACGAATAGATTCTTATAGGATAACTGCGAATATATAGGCGTAAGCTTCAGGTAATAACCCAGCAGATGTGGCCAGTTGCCTATCCTATCTTCACATTATCCACATTAGTATTTTTATAAAATACAAATTTGTAACATTTCCAATACCTTAGGATCTTCTTAGAAATCAGTTCCTATACAATACAATAGCTTTTACGTTTTACCCTTACTTCCCTACGTCGAAGCTCATAAACGCTGTGCCACAGCCGCAAAGCTTTCGCACGACTCACGAAAATACTGGAACACATTTTGATTAATATCTGAGATAGAAACAAAACCGTCTATCATATATACACGATATATGCACGTCTTCTGCACCAAATATAATAAAGTACATGTCTTTTTTAATAATGGTTTTGCTGGGTCACATATGAAATCTACCTGATAAGTCGTTGTAATATAATAGCTAAATAAAATAGTGAATGCAAATCAGTGGATAGAAAAGAAGTCTTCATAATCTCTCTTTTCAAACAAATGTTGATTCACTAATTATTGCAACTATTTATGATTAAGTTTCGGTTAAATAATATGGCAATATTCAGACCTATTATTTCATAATAATATTATTTAACACATGCAACATTCTTTGGATAAAATAATCATAGACAAAATTAATTTATCACAACACCTAATTTAGGCGGGAACTTAAAAAAAAATCAATTTTGTACCTAACAACTAGACAGCATTATACAATTACAATATTTCAAAGAGTTATTATAATTACTTACATTATGCACTACAATATTGTCATACTAATACATGAATTAACAAAATTACATTCCATCCCAGATATTGCAGAACAAAAAGTGTAAAGAAAGTTACAGCCATGAGTTCGCTTACGTACGAGTCTGTTAGTAATTAGTTCCATTAAATCCAATACGTATAGAAAAATATTTTTATTAATTAAATCATTTTACGTTCGTTTTATTGTTTTATACATAGGTTTTCATAGGATTCTATTACGTTCAGGTGAAGAAAATCGAATAACATGTCTAACTGTCTGAATAATTATTATGGGTAAGGATTTTAATTTAGTTCACTGAGGCAATAATTGGCGACGGTTTTGAATAGTATCGCAAATGTTAAGCACATAGAACCCTATGTCAGCCTTGATTAATAAATTATAATTAATTTGTATCCTTGATTAATAATATTATGGTGTGGGTACAGGCAAATTTCCCTAAATAGGTATAACTATAAAGTTGACAGATTGACTTGCTAATTGACAGCTATATAAAAAGAATAAAAAAATAAATAAAGAGAATTTGTACACAAGTAGATATAAAATAATAATCAAAGAAATTACGTAAAGTATTTAAAAGTAATTAAATAATCTTACATGAACACTTTACATAGGTTTGAGTAAATTTGTACAATACATAGCATGTAGAAAAAATAGAGATTCATTTTATAGAGATCGTTCAGTGAAACTAGATCATTGCCAGTTGTAAGTACTGCTACGCCATGTCTACGAAATATTACGCATACTTAAATAAAATTACAAAAGTTAGAAATAAAAGTCAAATAGTTAATGGCGTATTAAATACTGTCCCTAAATATTAACTTAAATATGTACTTCTTGTTCTGAAGAGTATTATTATTTACGTGTGTACTCATTATTGTACCTATATGTTTATGTTCGGTGACGGAGACAAACTGAGCAATGGTCTGTTTCAGTGGCAGGTTACATTAGTACTAATATTAAAAGCAAATTACAATATTTACACCAGCCGACAATAGTACATCTTGCAAATAGGTATCTAATATACACGTTAACTGTTTGTTCATATTTTAAATAACCACTTATGGTTACAATACGCTTATGAGTCCCCAGTAATACTTAATTATCAATTATTTTTAAAAACTCCTCGGGGGAGATGTGGACGTCTTCAGGGGGCGATGTGTCCGTCGCGTTAGGCACGGTGTTTTTCAGTTCACCGAAAGTGTAAGTCGTTCGTTTTTTATTCCTAGAGTTGGAGACGCGGGGTCCCGCTGGCAGCGACGCCTCGCAGTCGAGGCTGGCTCGCTTGTTCCAGCAGAACGCCTGCCGCGGCTCCGCCCCTGCCGACATTGGCATTGCCAATTGCACTCGAGATTTACACAATTCATTATCACTTAACTGTCGTTTTAACTTATCTTTCCCTACGACCAGCTGGAAGCCCCTCAAGCCACTGTCTCCGTGTGATTTGGCCAACTCAGCTTCACTAAGCTGTCTCTTAAGTTTTGAAGACTCGGTTGGACTGGACCGTGCTGGCTTATCGACTAGACTGTTCTGACGTGAAGTTTTGCTTCCTCCGTGTCTAGAATTCGAACTGTGTTTGAGTAACGCACTGTCGTGTCGGCTACTTCCCGATGAACTGCTTGTATTCGTATTACAAGTGTTCGCATCGTTGGCGTTGTTTCGTCGTAGCGATTCGATGACATTATAGAAGTGTTCCAGCTCAGAGGTGCTGCTATTTCTGGATCTGCTTAAATTGTTTGTACTATGTCTATGTGGGCGGATTTGAGCTCTTGGTAAATGGCCATAACTGCTTTGTCGAGCAATGCCAACACCGGCTGTGTTTTGTCGTCGTGGCATGCTACAACTCTTAGGAACGAAAGCGTCTTGTGACAATACCACATTTTCATACACGTGAGCGTTTTCACCATCTTCTTGTGATATAAGATTCTGGCGGCTTTCAGTAGTTTCTTTCTTTTGGCCTACGGAATTACTTTTCTTATGTCCATTATTAACTTTGACATCAGGCATTTTTTTCGTTAGTTTACAGTCACTGGCACTTCGAGGTAGTAAATTAGCATAATCATGGGTTTTGTTTTCTTGATTTTGTAACTTTTCTAACTTTGGAGCACTAGCGGCTGCAGCGGTGTCTGCTATTCTCATGGAGTTAGAAGGTTTAGGTGCTTTACTGGATGGACTGGCTTTCGCAACGTCTGCAGGAGCTTGTTGTGGCGCCACTTCGTGTCGTTTCCTGTCCACGTCGGGCTTAGACGATTTGTCTAGGACGACTTTTGTTTTATCACTTTTACATATTTTCACACTGAACCTAAATGGAGGTTTGAACACGACTTGCAGTCTGGCTTTCTCACCGGACAGCAAGTTCGTGGCGCTCTTGGACGGTCTGGTTTTTCTAGAACCTTTCTGTATTTGTCGGTGTGTTCTCTCAGTGAGACCTAGAGGTATAGATTTAGATTTAGGTATTGCAGTGGGCTGTGGTGAGCTTAGCAGCCATCTTTGCACCTTACTCAAAGCTTCGGTGTCTTTGATTGGCGAGGAGGGGTGTTTCTGCATGGAGCTGTAGTCTATGATCTCTTTCTTCATTTTGGACTTTCGTTTCTTTACTTTACCTTTGTGTTTGGAAAGTATGACATGTTTTGGGGATTTGCCTTCGGCATTTGTGACAATCACTGTATTTTCTTTCGCTACTTTAGGAACATCTTCTAATTTTGCTTGGCTATTCGGCTTCTGTAAAGAAATAAAGTGTAAGTAATTAACATAACATCGGTTATATTCTTAGATTTGCCCTAGTTTGATCTAATGTTCGACTTACCCTCTTCTTATTGGCACTGTGCATCGGAGAAGCTTTATCTCCTGACTTCTTGTGATCTTTCTTGTTGCGGTAAGCTCGGGTTCGAAGGGCTACTTTCTTCTTAAGAGGTAGTTTCGACCTGGAAAGTAATGAGCAGAGAGTGGTTAATTCAATATACCTGCCAATAGAGTACGTAAACAATCGGTAACCCCAATAAAAGCAAATCAGCGAATTACTTCTCCGCTTGGGTGGGGCGGAAGGGAGCGTCAGACTCTTATTGACTACAAACCACCCCGTTCCTACTCCTGCCCTTCGAGCCGGAGCCCCGGCAACCCGTTAAGTCCTCCGCGGCTTTAAGTAGGTATAATGTATAGATTACCTGACAGCGGTATGAACGATCAGTCCCTGGTCAGCAGCGTCAGGCAAGCGGACGGTTTCAGTGGTGGAGGAGTGGATGATGGTCACAGACTTCAGCTTTTTGCCGTGGCGGCCTAAGAAACGCGTACTTGCGACCTAAAAGCAGGTAAGTTAATATATTAGTTAAGATTTTAGATAGTTTTTGATGAGTAAGTATATTCTAGCTTTTCTATTATTTTAGCAAACGTATTCAAAGTCCTAATTATATTCATAGAAAAGAAGAATACAGCTAGCTGGATTAACTAGTTTCAAGTAACTCCTGAGTTGATGAAGATACCTACATATATAAATGAGCGTGTTTTATGTTATGATGACTACAACACTGAGTAGAGGATAGTGAAGTTAGAGTAGAGGATTTAATTTATTCATAAAATGAATCAAATCTACAAAAACATGAGCAATACTTTATGATCGAGTTAGTGATTAATTACATTAATTATATTTTGTAATCTAGCTAGAAATGTAAATACTAGCGGAGGTACTTATAAATGTTATTCATATACCTTCCCGAGGAGTTATACCTAAGTTAGACACTAACATTTAGTGTCTATTTCTATCTCAACGTCAAGGGTTTTGCAGCATCGCTAAATAAAACCAATTATGTTATTATGTTTCTCTATAATGTAAAAATTATGTGATTTCCTAGTTGATAGTTTCAGTCACTAGTAGACATTAGGTTGATTGATAGATTAATTCAATTCACATTGATGTAGCCCTCAATTAGTACTCCATATTACAAATCTTTATCTTAATATTCTACTATTTACCATATTACACATCTGTCGACTACTTCAGAAGAGCTCGTCACGTGAGACCCAAGGTATCCTTTTCTATGTTGTATTCAGTATAATGGAATGTACTCAAAAAATTTGTTCGGCAAAAAACTACTTCTATTAAGACAATACAAAAAATATGTTGGTGAAAAAGACAAAATGTAGGTATACGAAGAACTTACCAAGAGCGCGATGACTGCGAGCAATATGAGTAGTACCGCGTACCAGTGCTTGAGCACCCACCGCTTGAAGCCGGCGATACTTTCGTCCGAGAGCAGCAGCTTACGCAGCGTCGCCAGCGGACCTGACGGGTCCACCTCGCGGCAACGTTGGAACACGTCGCAGTACCTGCAACATTCAAACGTTATATTTAGATGCAAGCACATTACTGTTAAACTTGCCCAAACAGAGGCCTTACTACCAGTTTGTTTTACGTTTAAAGTAATCGTAACGAGTACGCGTTCGGCGCTGTGATTGGTTGCTTCATTGGCGCCGGCCAATCGGTGTGCCGAACGCGTACTCGTTTCGAATACTTTAAACGTAAATCAAACTCGTCCTAAAGCCTCTGTGCGTCGGTTGTGTAACGTAATCCTATTGTCAGTGGATATTTCAAGTCTCCAATTTTGTATCGATTGTAGACCCTCGTCATAGTTTATTTTGACGATGGCTTTTATATCTAACCACTAAGAAGTCATAAAGCCACCAATAAGGGTATAAGAAATACAGAAACATAGAGACAGAGGTCAGTCAGTCGGTCGGTCAGTTCAGCTCGAAACAGGAGTTGGAATAGGGTGATATTTAGTCAGTAATAGTCTGACGCCTCGTCACCCAGGGCGGGAAGGGTAACATAATTATTTTTCTCGCCATATAAAATTCATGGGTATTAGACTCACCCGTTATAATCGTTGCAGGGCGTTCCTGGTTTCGCATACATGTCAGGCACATCATACGGCGCAATGTTCCACTCGAAGGATGACATACAGACGCCGCCCGGCTTGCGACAGCACAGCTCGCACGCTGACCTCGGATCGTCTTTGCGAGGTGCACACTGGCATGATTCCAGTCCGTACGCAAGGCAGATGGAACCCGTGCATTCCTGTAAGAAAACCCCAGACAGGTAAATACAAAATATACATAAATAATCTTTGTTTGAGTTCAAACTTCAGATATATAGTCTGATATGGCGTAAAATTATTCTAGGCATTATGAGTACATAATGCCTAGTATATTATTCGTAGAGTTCGGTAAGTACTCATAACTCTATGAATACCTATATACTAGTAGTTTCATATTTTTGTTAAATTATTATCATCGTTAATCGACCCGGATAATGTCGGTAGAAAATGTTCATACTTACTCCCATATAACAGACGAGTTCCTTATCGCACCGCGTCCTGTTGGGCTTGTGTCGGCTGGCGGGACAGTTGGCACGTTTGCCGTCACAGAAGGCTGCATCACGACATCCATTGTCAGACCGACACTTATCGCCGAACTTGAGCGTACACGATGCAGTGCAGCATGGACCCTGAAATATTATAAAAAAATGACAAATTGAGGGGATAAATCTAAATAAAAAGGGTAACTTGAAACCGAAACCGAGAAATGGTAAATTTTGACTTCATCTAGATGAAGAAATAGTACTATTAAAGCCACATAGCAGCATTAGCAGCATTAGAATAGTCACGACGACGTTTAGATTGACGAATTTAGTTATTGCTTACACAATTTGATCCCTGAATTACTTTCCAGGCAACAGTGTTTGTCTGCTAAAATTCGATTTTAGATTAATCACTTTATTCTTAAAGGTATGTATACAAAAAGTGCCCTACCTGACTAGGACTGCACACACTATGTTCAGTGAGAGTACACGGCTTGTAGTGCGGCCTCGCAGCCTGTGGGCGACAGCACACATCAGTGCACTCTGACGCCCATCCGCAGTCGCATTCTTCTCCTTCTTCCACCACGCCGTTACCACAAATCGCTGGCTGAGGTTCTGTTAACATTTTATTATATTTCATTATCATTACACTTGGTTATAAGAGTGGTATTATGTAAACAATATGACGATAGGCTAAATATAGTTCCTTTAAAAAAATGAATCTATAGTGAGGGATAATGCGGGCAATTTGTTACACCGCAGCCGTGCCATTTATGGCCTTTAAGAAATTTGACAATTAACACCATACAACGCATATAATTTTGCACTCTGTGAATGAATCATGAATCTGAACCGACTTTGCATGCTGTATAAGCCAAGAATTGTTTATAAAAATCAGTTAAATGTAGACACAAAATTTTCTTACCAGTAAAGCATCCCTTAGGTGACCTGGCTTTGTTGTTGAGCACTGGGTCGATAGCTCTGAGAGAGCACGGTGAGAATTTGTTATTGTTCTTTCTATCGCCACTAGTTGCTCGCGCGAACATTATGTAGTTGCCGTCCTCGCCGAAGGGGGTGCATACCTCAGGGTCGTGCTGAAAGTTATTAATTGAATCATGTGAATTGTGTGTACGCACGGGCCAAATAGTCCATGTTCAATAGATTTTCAATTTTATTGTCGAATTATAAGGTCGAAAGTCTATTAAAGTATCTTCTAGGAGTACATAGAGAAAATATCATGTCAAGTTAATAAGTAATGGCAACGCACCGGTGATCCGAAGTTGTGTCCGATCTCGTGTGCGAGGGTGACGTGGCTGACAGCCGGCGGCACGTGCTTGCCGTAGTTTAGCAGCGTCACTATACCCGTGTTCAGCGATTTCATGCTACCACGATAATGCTAAAAACATATTAAGTAAAAAAAAGATATTTAATTTGCCTTTGTCAAAAATCATTCAAATGATAGACAACGAGTTGTTTCTTACCCCATTTTTCTCGCAAACTCCACCGGCATTTTTCAAATCACCTGTCCAAGCCAGCCCAAGAGTACCCATTTCAAAATCTCGGTATGTAAACATGTACGCCAAACAGAAGGCATCGTAATCTTCCTCTAAAAGATAAAAAATGATTTATTTTTATAAAATTAAAACCTTCCGTTTTAAAGCAGTCTAATTTATAACCATAATAGCTTAACTTTGTAGAATAGTCCCCCAGAGACCCGACCTCTTTGAATGCGTAATTGAATATTGACGAAAAAAGGCAAACCTGAAAAAAGCTCCAAATATTTTTCTACTCCGTAGTTGTTTGGAAACCTATAAGCAGGATCTTTCAACGCGTCTAATGTGTGGACCTTTATTCTTTTGATCATAAACGTGATGTTGTCTGGCTTTCCATCCTGATTGAAGTCTGCAAAGAAGTTTTCATTAGTAGGGAAAATGTCATTATGAAACTACATACATGTTTGAAAGCTGTACATTACCTGTCACTTTGTATATTGCGTTAACTTTCTGTACATGTCGCGTCATGACTTCGATACACGCCTCCTCGGAGCCGTATCGTTGATAGAACATGTGATCGGCCTGCAAGTATACTAGGCACGTGGTTTTCCTCGGATCTACTGTCGCCCTTTTGTTCACGTGTCGACCGTCATCACTCGCGTTAGCCGACAACACAGTGTACCCTACTGGCTCCTTTTTGACTATATCCTTATTAACAGCTACAACTCCTGCTTTCGTTTTTATCACTTCAACGTGCGTCTTTGGCTTTGGTCTCGATTCTTCCGAATCGAGTCGCACCTTAGTTATGAGGTTACTTTTATCGATTTTGGTTTTAGGTTTTCTAGTGCTTAACTTATCAACCGGCTCATTGTTGCTAGTGTATGGAAAGTCTAAGTCTAAAGGTAATTCTGGATTCTTCTTTGGCTCGTCATCTTGCATTTCATCTTCAGGGAGCCATCGTTTTTTTCGTCTATGTATTTCGCTTCGGAGATCTTCAGTAAAATTGGTTAGGGGTGAGTCTTTTACGTTTCGTTGATCGGCAGAACTAAATAATTCAACTTCTTGACCTAAAGTTCTTTTCATATGGAGTAGATGTGATGCGCACGGTGCTCCTTCATTGGTATCATGTGGGTGCTCGACATCTGACCTTCTGTATACAACGCTGTGCATAGAGGGATGGTCTATGTTATATCGAGATATCGGTTCCACATAATACTCTTCTGTGGGGGTCCAAATTGTTCCATCGAATAGACCCTCTGCTGTGATGACACCATAGACGTGAGACAATTCATCATCTATAACAAAAAAATGTTATGCTGTAATTCTTTCATTTGATTAATACACATCACTCGAATAGTTGAAATAAATAGAGACTTAATACAAAGACTTCAGTATTTCAAAATAAAGCTTTGAAATACAAACAACTTGGGGACGCTCAAATAAATGGCAGACGATATTTTATGCAAACTAATTCGAGGTGCAAAGAGCCTCGGGACTCTGAATGAATTAAAATCACAACTTGCAGTCGCAGTAGGGGAGGGATTGAAACCGCTCATAAATAACGGTAATTACTGCTCTCACCTACACTCCATTCCTCCTTTATTCATTTTCTGGCAAACGGGTAATAGACAAAAATTGGTTTGTAAAACAACCGCGTAATATTTTAATGGATCAGATAACATCACGAGACTCACGAGTTCTTGTAATGAGGTGTTAGAGCTAAACTTGTTGATGTATCATCGGCGAAATTTTATTACAAGGTTTTTTCGTATTCGTGGTTTAACGGCAGCCACCTGTCCTAATTCTTATGAAGTTTTGATCTTTGTTCCAGAATTGTGAACAAAAGGCGAATAATTTGAAAGCAAAGAATTTTAATAATTGGATAACATTCTTGAAAGCTTGTGATTTATGAAGCTTAACTTTTTGTATTGGTAATTTGTTTTTGTTATTTTCGGTTGACCTTTCTACGTAAATATTATGGGTTTCTAATGGAGATATTATTCAGAAAGACGAATTTACGAGAAACATACTTCATTAAACTTATGAAGTAATTTGTTCAAAATTCACTTTGTCTCCAGCGTTCCAGATGGGTCGCAGTACATAATTTCCTTTTATTAAGTTATTCACAGAATGTACAAGTTTGTTGGGCTCATGTTTAATTGGTTGTTTCAAAGACTTGGGAAATAAGTGAAGGGTTGGAGTATGTTTTAAGTACCTATCTACTCAACTAAATTATATTTTAATTAAAACAAAACGGAAGTTATGGACGACTGGTTTGTTTTGTGCCCTATTGTTTAATGACCTTCAATAGTTTATTTAAATATCTGAATTACTTTACCACTTCCATGATGTAAGTAATTGAATAAGTAAAGAAGAACAAACTTCTAAAAACAACAGTTAATTGCCGAGTACGAGTTTCAGTTAACGGAATACTGTAACGCTAATTTGTAAAGTCATAAAAGACAAAGTCATTTTAACAGGACTTTCGCTTGTAATTAAAAGAAACCTCGTACAAAGGAGTAATCCGTTTAAGGAAAACAATTTAATTTCGTTGCCCGCCGAACAATTAATGCTGGCCGCGAGTAAAAACGAAAATTTCGAAGTGCAATGATGGAAATTTACAAATCACCTGGTTTGTCCGTTGTGTTTTTTGTGAATTGAGAATTTTTGTCAAGTGACATTTATGATGTATCTACAGAGACTTCTTGGAATACTGTAACCATTTCATGTTTAAAATAATTGTTGAGCAACGTTCATATGTACCTCTATTACATGATTATGTTTATGCTGTTACAAGTTTTAGTAACGTATTAAAATATCATCCCTGCGTAGGACCGTATATACGTCAGAAAGTCATTCTCCCGAGAACACCGTGCACCTAATAAGTGATAAATGACACGAGATATAGGTTGTCGAGATCTAATCTAGATGCCCATTCTCATAAATCATGAAGGTACTTAGCATCGGTAGAGCCACCTAAATACCTCTCCTCCTATGCTATGCTAACGATCCAATATAGGTACGTATAAATTGCCCCAACAAGCTCGGGCATGTCTATGGAATTTGGTAAAGTATTAAGAGCAAACAGCCCTATCCGACATCATGTATTAGGAGGCTGCATGAATTGGCACAAATGAGTCGACTTGCACGTGACTGCCTTTGCTACAATTCCTCATTGTTTAGGGTTGACGACTGGATATTAAAATTTTCATAACTGTTACTTTTATTAAAATCCTCGATCCATTATTAGGTTTTATGCAAATGAGTTTTTAATGACACTTATTTTAAGACAAATACAATGTCTAGAATCGCACCAAAGCTTTAAAAAGCGGGGTAATGAAAATTGTTATAAAGATAAGATGTCGTGGACTCTGTTATTTTAATTAAACCTTTTAAATTAATTACATTATGAACTATCCTTTTAGAAGTTAAAATAAATGAACGCTATCGCAATTTTCCCTGTAATAAAATATAGCATCAACTCAATATGATAGCATTGTTTGTCGTGGGTACAGCCCTGTACAGACATCTCTCTTGGCTAAGACCCGGGATTACATCACTAATGCTTATCTGATGCCGCGGCTAGATTATGTGATGTTTTATTGTGTTCATCGCAACAGTTCTGTGTGTTTAACGCGGCAATTACTTTGGTTCCCCGACCGTTATTGTAATATTGAATTCGTATTTTAATTACTGGATCTGACGCTAACTTTAACAGCAATAATAATTGATATTTAGTAATAGACCATTAGATTTAATTATGCTGTTGGCGCAATGTATAGTCAATTGATACGACCTGGATATTCATCAGAATTAAAAGGTTTTTAGTTAGTAGGTAACTCTAGCCGTATAATGGTTCTCTGGTGAAATTAAATTACAATTAAGTCCTTACATTTATGTAATAATGCTGACCTCAACTGAATTACAGTTAATGGGCCGTATAAACCTCTAATATAAAATATCGCTCAAGCCCTCAATTTCACGTTTCACGGTTACATCATATTAGGAGTAGCTTTTAGCCTAGCCTAAAGTTTGAGCTATAAATTAAAACACATATCTCACATCTAATGTTCATTTTCTTCAAAAAGTAAAGGAACAATTCTTTTGGGGTAAAGGAATTTTATGAAAAGATATAGGCTGGAAGTAATAGCAGGCTTTGGTGAAAACTTTTGACGTGATAAGGCTGTTCAAGTAAGTTAAGCGCTGATAAGACTGCCGTTGAAAGAGTGGCTGCAAATCGTAAGTCTTAGTTGAATTATCAGTCGTGGACATTTAACATGTACTGTTTATTAAATCAATAGTCTGCCTAACAATCATCATTCATTTCATCAGCAGCCTATAAATGCCCACTGCTGAGCAAAGCCTCTTATCACACGGAGAAAGTTTGAGCATTAATCACCACGCTTGCTCAATGCGGGTTGGCGATTACAAACTTATAATTAGAAATTATAAGCCCAGGTTTCCTCACGATGTTTTCCTTCACCGTTTGTCAGTGGTGTCTGAATAATCTTAGAAAGTACATATAACTCGGAAAAAGTCACATTGGTACTTGCCGTTGGTTGGTTTCGAACCCGCACCCTCATGCATGAGAAGCGGGCGTCTTAAACCTCCGGGCCACCACGACATTGTTTGAATAATATTAATTAAACTTGCTTACCTTCCAGCTTCCCAGAGTAAACTTTAGCAGGGTTAAAGTCCACTTGTCCGGCTGTGGAATGGAACTGCACGCCGTCTGCGAATACTGAGCTGGGGTCCGGTCTGAGTATCAACTTGAACTCCCTGTAACATTAGAAAACATTACTTAATTACTATATTTTTTTAAAAGAGTACCCGGGTCGTGATCTACTACGATACGGAAGCCAAAAATATGGTTTTTAGAATTTTTGTCTGTATGTATGTACGGGATGATCTCAAAAAGTACTTACTACATGGATTTACTTTAAATTTTGTATGATTATTACTATTAATGTAGCCTATATGTTGACCTGACCTGTTAGCGTCATAATTCACGCTATCACCTACGAGGTACGCGCAGTGAATCACTATTCCACGAACGAAACGAACGAACGAAAGATATGGATACGAACTAGGTGCAGCTCAAAATTATTAATGGAAGTGTGATTGATTTTAAATATATTTTTGTATTAAAAAGTCGAAATCATTTAATTTTATGTGGGAAACTATTCCAGATTATTGTCAATGTTTTATTACTGCAAGGGCTGTTTAACCATCTCTAGTTAACTGACGGATAATTTAATTACAGTTAAGTCATGAGTCAGTTAACAGAAACTAATACTTGTAAAATATTATATTGTACATTTAAAAACACATTAATAAATAAATTTTAATTACTTATTCTTTAATACAACGTTGCATAATATAGCATTACACAGTACATAGCTCTGAGCAGTAACTCTGGGCGTTAACACAAAAGTGCTCTTCATCGTGACAGCATTAAGCGCACGAAGGTGAAGTGTGTAAAGTTTCGCTGTTTCACGTAATACGTCCAAACTCGTATTATGTTCATACGGCACGTACACTAATTATGATTTAATGCTATTCACGCGGAGTTCAAACTGTTCGTATTAAAATGTAGAGCACCAGTGTAATGGCTAATAAATCAGACGCATAACTCTGATATACTGTTGGGCCTCGTGCCCTTCTAATGTTTTTAGTTGAGTAACTTTTATTTAAGGTACGTTTTAATAATACGAAGGCAATAACGCATTCTCGAACGTGTTAGCTGTTAGGGTTATTATAATGTTTGTACCCGTGCTTGAATTTTAATGACATACAAACCTGTCTTGGGAATCGCGTCGAAAATAAATTTCCGGACTGAAATAATGTTAGTTGTTGGACGAGGATGCGACAGTTTAATAGATTTTCAGCATTCGTGACGTGAGATATTCACATTCTGGGGACAACCTGTGATGTGAACGACCTTAATTAATGTTACTGCAGGACGATTTGTTTTCGAAGATGGCTTTGCTTACAAATATCTAGCTTATTTAAATCAACGACGAATAATCTTATAATGCCGAGAAGATTAACAGTGAAGGATTTGTTAAACAATTCCCTAAGGAGTCGCGAGTTGCTTTGACATGTTACCGCAATAGCAATTCTCGTGCTCTGTAACATGACTCCGAATACAATAACGTCTCATGATAGTATTGTTATCTCACAAAGAAAGACACTCCAAAAATATTTATTCTTAGTGAATACGGCATGAAACATTTATTTGTATATAAGACTCGAGCGATTTTACTCCAATTTGTAAGCGAACAAAAAATAACTTTCTTTCACTTATTCTATTCTATTTTTAACAGACTTCCCAAATATAAGTTTCTCATTTCAGATGGTATATTTAATTTTGTTTGTGTGTATATGATACATCGATTATACCAAGGGTTACGGATGCATCGCCTTCTCAACTATCACAGGATAGGTAAGTACAAGTAGGTAGTAAAATAAAAATTACAACAAACTTGTAAGGAATGTTCAATTAGCGTTTTACTTGTACCGGTACTGGAAAAGGTACACCACACTTATTCATTTAAACCAGATTAGCGATGAATGAATTATTATGAACAGAGTAATATCGTATTCTTCGTTGAAGTCGATAGTTGAGTTATCATCACAATGAAAGTGAATCGCATTACTATTTACGAGGTAGATTCAAGATGTAGGGCGTTTTGTAACTCAATAAAATTTTCACAATTCCCCCAGATTGGACGTCAGAAGCGGCACTAACGAGCGGTATCTAATGATGTTAGACGAATAGACGGTCGGATGTCTCCCTTGTTTGTCTGATCTAACTTCGTTATAGGAAAACTTGCTCTGATTTCCAACAAAACAGATGAAGTGTCTCCTCTTGACGACGGATCGAAGGTGTAATCGCGCCGGTGTGGGTGATCATTATTTTCAGCACGATTTCTCCCTGTACGCGGTGACACGAGGAATTCCAAGCGACATGCGGTATTAGTATTATAAGGCGCGTTGTTGTTGCTGGAGTGAAGTGTTACACAAGCCCAACAATATGTTTTTGAAAGCAGACATTCGATTCAATAATAAAAGAAAAATTTAAATTAAAGAAATATTAATCAACATAGACCGCGCCGTACATTTTTAAATTACTGAAATTGTTAAATTAAGTAATTTTACCATTAGAAATGAAATAGATGATAAAGTATCCCTAACTCAATTTAAAAGAACGTTTAATCCTTACAGTAACGTAAGTTTCAACTTTGCTGACGCAAAAAATATCAGCTTAAAAGTTTAAGTACCCGAGCAATTACCCTCTCCGTAATTAAACAGATATTTATGTAAAGGCTAGTATGGAAAATGGCTAACGAGGCATAAAAATAACTTTTTCATTACGAAATTGACTGAGTGCGTCCGAATTTCGCCAGGTCTATTGTTTACCAACCGGATTTCTAACTTGATTAACGAATTAATTACCTGAGTAATTCCATTGGTTCCGCGAAGTAAATTTGAAATAGTCTCAAGAGTAATATTTAACTCCGACTTGAGTAAATATTAATAAGTCTACAACTTATATTTGCTGGAGTTTGGGGACTTAGTGCCGTAACGAGATTACTGCGGCGGGTTATTGAGTTGCTGGCGGCACTCGCTTCTACTCCATAAAGTAATACATTATTTAATTGTGTATAGCTGTATGGATGGAGCAGAACCTGCTCATATAAGAGACTAGTAATAACAAAGTGGTTGTTAGTAATAACATATGGAAGAGTCGTTCAAAGAGACGTGCCAATTTGTACCAGAAAAAGAAAATTTCTCTTATTCTGATTTGGATCACATCTGCATGCAATCTGTAAACGTAAGTTACAGAGACACCTTCATTATGTAAAGGACTAATAAATGTAATAACTCTGGTAAACATTGTTATAATTTTTTAGAATCTTCATTTGTTGGCTGACAACGTCTGAGAAAATGAAGTAAAATTCTTCGCGATTTCACATCTTCAGAAGGCAAGCAGAGTCGACAATGATTAATAAACAGGGCGTTTAAATCAAAACAAAGTGACAGCAAAAATTCTGCCTTAACTTTTATTAAGAAGTTGGTGTACATCAGCGCTCGTCCATCCCTATTTTCAGAGGGTAGATCAGACCTGAAAACTCTGTAAGAAGTTATTAGCGAAGGCAATTTCCAGAAGCCATTACTCATTTCTGGTAACAAACAGGCTTGAAGGCGGCCTGGAGGCTTCCTCGCAGTGTAATTGTGGAAACCCGAGCTCGGGAATATTAAGTGACGACGTCACGGGGAAGTGGTTTCACGTACGTTCACGGCTGTAATTGAACTGAAGCCTAATCTTGTCTGCTCAAAATAGGCTCTATGTAACATACGGCGTATTATTACAGGTCCCTGAATTTAGATGAAATGTGCCAAAGGGCGTGCGTAAATAGAGTTACTTCTACTTATTAATTTTGTTTTGCTTCCACGTGACCTTTGAAAATGCGTTGAACTTTGAAAATACTGTGCGCAAAAAAGCACGACGCCTATTTACATTTTCACATACAATAAGTAACTAAGTATAGATATTAAAAGACGCTAACAGTAAAAAGTACCGCATGGACAAGGATTCATCAATTTGTAAAAAAGAAAAGTTTTATTGTCTTTTGTCTAATGAAAAGTTCTTGGGATTGTTGAAAGTTTCGGTTCGGTCAATACCTCGTTTTAGAAACACAATTAAACTTGTGGGTCACTTCGACAGGTTTTCTTTCCGAATAAGGTAATTAATCTTTGATTTTCCCATTTACACCTATTTGAAAAGAGCAATTTTACAGTAGAATGATTCGTTGCCATTTAGCAATAAATATTTTGGAAGTAAAATATTCTCATGGAAAGAAATGTTACATCTGATATCATAAGGTTTTTTTTAAGGGGGGAAAATCATCGAATGACTGCTCCCGCCTGGGTGAGGCGGGAGGGAGTGTCAGACGCTTATTGACTAAAAACCACCCCGTTCCTTCTCTTGCACGCCGAGCCGGAGCCCCGGTAACCCGTTAGGTTCTCCACGACATCTCATAAGATTTATAGTATTATTAAATATATGACAGGCAATACAGTAGGCAATAGTGTTATAAGTATTAATGTGTAGCTCTTTCAGTCAAAGCAATTATTTCCATTAATCCTTGATTAGGCACTTTTGAAACAAACAGCTTTAGTGTTGTGTATCTGTAGTATACTATATGGTCATAGTATAGTCTACGGTGATAGATTATATTATCTATGTGCGTGGCGGAGCCCGCGAATTTGTAAAGCAATTGAAGACGTAATAAATGTGTGTGTCGATAGCCTTCTCTCTTTTTACTTATATTTCGTTTGCTAAAATAACATAGGTACTTAACACAATAGTCAATGAATGAGTTTCATCGTCATTTTGTAATCAAGGCTTTTAAAGTTTTTAATAACTTTATTACTATTAAGAAATAAAATAAAATAACCTAAAATTAATGGGGAAGATGACAGGGTATGAAAATTAAAAATATAATTAGTCCGTAACTTAGGTAATAAAAAAATATTAGACACGTATTTTTTTATTTTGTTGTATAATAAAACATTACTTAGATAAAACGAATCAAAGTTTAGGAGTGGGGGCTAAAACGTCATTTCTTAGTATAAAATGTACTGAGAAGTGACGTCACGCGACATTTCAATACAATATATCTTCGAAACTATTCGTTTCCGTAAGAAAATAAAAAATACGTGTCTAATGTTTTTAAATAATCTACCAGACGGACATTAAAAAAAAAATTAGT